CAGTAGCTGTGAGCAGAGGAGCAAAGATTTAAACTTAAAGCAATCTTTTTCCAGAGTCTGAGTTCTTAACTACTTTACAGCCGACACTGACTCCAAAGCTTAACTGACTTGGCTATATCCCTTGTGCCCTTAATGCAATATACCAAGCCACTCTTTGTTCTTTCACCTTCGTGATTTTAAAATCACCAATTTATGCATGTCCATCAACTTCTTCAAAATCCAGCTCCACATTCTATATCCTAATACTCAGTTACTCACCACTCCTTTAATAAGTAACTGCTGGGCCTATCTATTCAGAATATATAATGGTATTTCTAGTGGTGTTTTTTTTTTTTTTTTTGGAAAAGTGTTCTTACTGATTTCACAAATTTTACCATTTCAACCAGATTAGGCTGTTTAAGAAAAAAATGGACATTCTTTTTATCTTACAGAATCTTCCAAAAATTTAGTAATAATAACTATTGAGAACCCATGAATTACTAAAAAATTTACCCAGCTTTCTCCAAGTCTTCTGTGTTATGACTATTTACAAATGATAACAACTTTCTATCATATTATGCAATTTGTCAAGATTGGTCTAGTCCTGACTCTGCTGTGAACTAGGGTACATGATCCTGCCAAATGACACATCCTTAATTTTTCGCTTCTTTATTACTAAAGAGAAGGGATTAAACTACATAAGGACATGTTTTGCAAAACACAGTACCATATGTTTCACTAAAAGGGCCCTATTGACCAAATAAACTGGATTCAATATGATCCCTCTTCTTATACCTTCCAGTTCAAAATATAGCTACATCTATATTTTGAAAGTCTTGAGAGAAACCCTGGATTCTCTAAAGTGTCCCCTCCACTTATGACTTTCTCAAGTCAAAGAATTCAAGTTTAACAACTCTAAGCACCTTTAAGTGATGATCTGGTTTAAGCTATTTATAGAAAATTGAGGCCCAGAAAGTAAAGAGGTACTATTACCAAGCATTCTCCATTACAAACCATTGCTTTCAGCAACAGACCTAATGCCCACACAGGCCTTTCAGCATCATTAACCTTTGCCATCCCAAGAGCCATGTGACTGGTTAATAGATGTCTCCCAATATCTTTTCCTCTAATTCTTCTACAAAAGCAGAACACCTGATTTTTATTTGGTTACAAAGTCACCCAGAATAATGAATGAATATCCTAGCCTCCCCTGAAGCTAGATGTGGCTGTGTATGTGTATTGGAGGGAGTGGGGAAAGGTGTGTCAGGGTATTTTTTTTGGGGGGTGTCCATCTCCCTTCCGGCCATCTAGAATGGAGACATTATAGCTGGGATTGGAATAGTTTTTAGAACATGAGATGGAAACTATGTATTGACCAAGACAAAAGGAATATGGGAGCCACTAAAGCAACCCTGGCCTGTCTACATGGATTATCTACTATATGACAAAGAAACATCTATCTTCTTTAGGCCACTACTATTATGGGATTTCTACCATTCACAGCAGAACTAGATCAAAACTGATTTAGGTTAGATTGTCACTCTCTTTCAAAGAGCCAGAGCACCCTGGCCAGGTGGCTCAGTTCGTTGGATAGGTGTCCCATGCACCAAAAGGTTGTGGGTACGATTCCTGGTCAGGACACACACCTAGGGTTGCAGGTTTGATCCCTGGTCAGGGTGCGTATGGGAGGAAACTGATTGATGTTTCTCTCACATTGATGTTTCTCCCTCTCCCTCTACCTCCCTCTTTCTAAAATCAATAAACACATCTTCAGGTGAGAACTAAAAAAAATTTAATAAAAAGCTAGAAGCAGGTTTCTCTATTCGAAAGAAATTCTGCACTCACTCCCCCACTTCCACCTACCTGTTCATATCTTTTGTACCTTTTAGGCTAAATATCATAAATAGGATTAGAGTGGAAAGTACCATAGTCTCAGATTAAAGAGAAATGGGATCTGGTTACACAGATGTACATCAAATTCCTTGGTCTCAGAAACCCACTTTTCTTTGTCTTCTAGCGGATTTCCCATGTTCTTTGGTTCCTTGTGGTAAACAGAATTCTAAGATGACCCTCAATGGCCTTCAATGGCCCTCATTTTGTATAATCTCATTCCTTTGAGTGTAAGTGGAATCTGTAAATATGATGAGATTTCATTCCTATGATTACATTATGTTATATGGCAACAAGGACTTTGCAGGAGTAATTAAGACTCCTATTCAGTTGTTCTTAAGATAGGTGGACTACCTAAATGGGCTTGACCTAATCACTTAATCCCTTTCAACCTAAGTCTGAAACTCAGATAGAAGAGATCAGATTTGAAGGAAGAGGATTCTCAGTGCCTTTGCTGGCTTGAAAATAAAGGCATGGAATGAGGAAGGCATCTAGGAGCTAAAAAAAGGTTGTGGCTGATATCCATTAAGAAAATCAGGACCCGAATATCGTCAACAATAAAAATGAGCTTAAAAGCAGATTTTCTAGAGCATCCAGATAAAAATTCAGCCTGGCCAAAACCTCAATTTTAGCCTTGTGATACTCTAAAGCAGTGAACTTTGCCATGTTGTGCTGGGCTTCTGTCCTACAAAACCGTGAACTAATAAATGGTTGCTGTTTTAAGTGCTAACTGTGGAAATCTGTTATGCAGCAATAAAAAACTAATACTTTCCTTAAAGATTAAAAAACAAAACTTCATAAAAGCCAGTTGTAACACTAATTTTTTTTTTAAATAAGGCAAGTTCTATATTTACTTGAACATGCTCTTTCTGTGATAGAAATTCACAGTCATTACAAATAATTATCACCTAATTTATCTGACCATGAATTTGCTTCTGATAATAGTTTTTATCTTTTCCTATAGTCACTGGAGAAAATGAGATCAACATATTTCAAGTAAAGTATAGGATAAGAAATGTTACATTAAAGGAGACAGGAAATAGCAAAGATACATCTTTGCCTTGACTTTAGTATAGTAATACTCCTCAGGGAAAAAAAGTAATTAAAAATAAAAACAATTCTTAGATGTTGTCAGAGAAGTAACCCATAAAACATACCCATGAGCCATTATAGATATGGGTATATGGAGAACTCAGTCATGGGAAGAAACTAAAAGCAAAACAAAACAAAAATAGAGACTAGCATAAGACTCACCCCAAATCTCTAGGCTAGTAATCTAAGCATACAGGTTGGGGCAAAAGTAGTTCTACAGTTGTTTGTATGGAAAATAATACAATAATTAATACAAAAATAAACTGTTTCACGTACAACTGTAAACTTACTTTTAGCCTACACTATATATCTATAGGATTGAACTCAAAAAAAAAAAAAAAAAGGGTTTCATATATGGCAATTCATTTCATTTTCAGAAATATTTACTTCCTAAAAATATCTAACTTGTTTTCTATTTGCACAAAGGTTTACAGTTTCTGTAGTTGTTTCTGGAACTGTTCTATTTACTCCAAACCCCAGAAAAATGTATCACTGCAAGACCCTGAAAAATGCAATAATTTTTTTTATTTAATCGTTATGTTAATTTGCAAACAAACATGCCTGTATAAAATACAGAGCACTGTTCCAGGAAAAACGGATATAGGGTGGTTGAGGTGACAGCAAAGAAATATAATCTTCCTTTCCTCCAGAGGCCTGTCACTTCAAATTACTATTTTCCATTAAGAAAAATTGTGGATTCCTAGGAAGTCAATCTGCAGAAATAGCCAGATATGCCCAATTGTCTAAAAGGAGTTGCCTGAGAGTTATCTCCCCTCTCATTTCTTTCCTCCAGGACAATCAGCATAAAAAACATAAATTACTCACTTCAGTCTGTACAACTCTAATGAGGCAAAATAAATGCTGTTGTGTTTTAGCTATAACACCAAATTGACGACAGCGCTCCAAAAAGGTGTCTAAAGAAGGGTCGATTCTTCTTTGCAGTTTACTCCAAAAGAGAGTCAATTCCCTATAAAACAAAAGGTTGAGGTAAAACATTTAAAGTAACTGGTATATGCTATCCACCTCCCCACCCTACTTTTTTGGTTTGTGAAAATAAATGGATAGTAAACAAAAACTAGAAGAAAAACACTGTGTAGTATTACCTATTGCTTCCTCCCAAACCATTCCCACCTGTTCCAAAAGGTTTTACACCCCTTACATTGGTAATTGCACCGACTATCCCAGTGGGCAGGGACCATCACACACTACACTGCCAAAAAATATTTACAACCAAAAACTAGTCTAAAGGTACACTTCTTCATATTAATCTCATAGGCCCTTTCCAGCTCTAAAATGTCATGCTGCTACACAGGCCTATATTTTGAAATGTTTAGATATTCCTAATAAAATTAGTAAACTGGTACTCTTGGCTAAAATGTGAGAATCCTACAAATATTTCATTATGGAAACAAAAGCTTGAAAAGAATAAGTTAAATAAAACCTTGAATAGGTTAAGAGAAAACTTAAGGAAAACAACTAGAAATTTTAAAATGCCTAGAAATCTAGTGTGAATATAAAATGTGAATGCAAGGAAAGTTCCTCAGGAAAACTGAAGAGATTGTTATCACTTAAAAAATAAAAAGTGTCTCCTATACAATTTCAATGGGTACTATTATACATTCGTTATATGATTTTAATTTAATAATAACCATATTGCCCTGGCCAGTGTGGCTTAGTTGGTGGGAGCGTCATTCTGTAAACCAAAGGTGGCAGGTTCAATTTCCAGTCAGGGAACATACCAGGTTCAGGTTAGGTCCCTGGTCAGTATGCATCTGAGAAGGCAACTAACTGATGTTTCTCTCTCACATCGATGCTCCTTCTCTCCCCCCTCCCTCACCCTTTCTCTCTCTCTAAAAGAAATGAAAAAACTATCCCTGTGTGAGAATTAAAAACAAAATTTAAAAAAAGAACCATATTATTTTCATAAACTAGTTTAGGACACTAATATCCTATTGTTGCTATTAACAGAGTATTTCAAGAAGCTGGTTAAAATCTGAAGCTTAAGAAATAAATACACCTCTTTTTATTTCTATTTATTTTTACACTAAGTCTATATAATGGCTTGTCTCACAGAGGAAAATGTACCAGAAAAGGTGAGACTTTGTTGCTATAGCAAGCTCAAGTTGTGTCAGACAGTTATGATCACCTTGTAAGAGTGTTGCTTACAAGAATGTACTTCTTTTTATAACAAATGAAAAATAAAAATATTTAAAAGATCTTAACTTTTTTATACTTTTAAAGAGATAACTGGGATTCTCATGTATTCTTACATAGATACAAAACTTGCTTCAAAGATTAAAATGAATATACATCTCAAAAGATATAGGATTAAAGCTTATATTTCATGATGGTAAATTTGAGCTAAAACAAACTAAATTTACTTTAAATACTTTCAAATATTTGTCTTTGGCAAACAGTGTTGCTTTCCTAACCAGAAAAGGTAAAAATTGAGATAGGTCAGCATTCAAAATAATTACCAGACAGGGAAGTAATTGAGATGACTGTTCATTTTTAAACTCACAAGACTGCTTCATTTAGATGTAAGCATTTTTGTAATAAAAACTTGAAAATAGTGTAAAATTCTGAAGAACAAAGGAAATGGGAGAATTACATATGCTCAGAGATAAAAAGAGTATCTATCAAAATATATGTATCTGCCCTGACCAGGTGGCTAAATTGGTTGGAGCACTGTCCCATACTCCAATAGGCCCTGGATGAGATCCCTGGTCGAGGCATGTATGCGAGGCAACCAATCAATGTTTCTCTTTCTTACTCTCCCTTCCTCTCTCTCTAAAAGCAATAAACATATCCGGGGGGGGGGGGGGGGGGTGTTAAAAAAACAAAAAGCAAAATACATATATGTGACATCGTTCCTACTTAAAAAGAACAAAATTATCAAAGCCAGTAAGATCTGATTATGAAGATAAAATGGTAAAAAGTAAAAATCCACTGAGTAGCTAGAAGTTAAAAGTAGGCAAATCTGATAATGTGAGGAATGGCAGATTGAGAATTAAGGTTACTTATAATTTTAAAAAAATATCAGAATGTCTAGGGCTTGGTTTATTCCAAATTAAATATTTCAAAGCTCTCGTTATTTTAACTCCAAATAACCATGACCAAAAAAGGGTATTTTATATTTTTATACATATTTTCACATTATAACTCATCAATTTAAAATGATTATTACCCACCCAGACATGTCAAATGAACCTGAAGCCATGACAATCCATAAATTACTCATGGGAATGCCAGTATGTGACTTCAACCACCCAATCAAATCTGCACACCAGAACAATGAAACACTAATGAATCATATCTTGTAGCCTGCTGGGTCATCCATGCACTAGGACAAATACTTCTTCAATGAGTACAGTAATGTGATTTTTAAAATTGGACAAACATTAAAGAATATATGAAAAACGATTCCATTATACAGATGCCTCCAAGATTCAGAAGGCTTACTACATTCTAAAATTAGCTCTCGGACTACCTCAAGTCAACACCTTACAAATTCATAAAATTGGAAAGGAAATTTATTTCTATAAATAGGAGGAAATGCATTTTGGCAGTGATGTGGCTACTAGGCAAGAACTTTAAATTACATCGTGTTTCTGCACAGCAGGAGGCCCATAAAGTCAAGTTAGCATGTCACACTAAGATCCAAAATTTAATAAGCATTTTAGAAATGAGGTGGGGGAAAAAAACCAAAAAGAAAAACTTTGTGGAATCAAGGAATGACCATGCTGTAAAGAAGAGTCCTGAAAATACAATCTGATTCTCATGACCTCTTTTTTTTCCTACAAAATTCAGGTACATTAAACACATATAGGTATGTGGTCTTCACCAGGTGCAGGGGACTCGACTGTGAAGTAGATAAGATATTGATACATCATGACCCTGGTATCACAGTCTAGTTAGGAGAGAACAGACAGAAAATTACATCTGAAGACACATAAATATACAACATATAAAGTTTAAGCTCAGAGAAATTACACAAAGCAAAGGTCAATCTATCAGAATACTCACTAAAAGCTCAAGTGTGATTGAACTCAATGATGTCATTTTTAAAGAAGCAGTGGTAATTACACATCTATGCTGTATACTGACCCATTCAAAATGGTTCTTTTTCTCACTTGTGTGGCTACTATAATTACATTACCACAGCTAGACATCTATATGAAACTCATTCTTCCCGCACTTCTTTGATTTTTGCAGAGGACCAAAAATTTAGGGGTGGGGATAGTTAATTAAAAAAAAAAAAAAATGCCCTGGCTGGTGTGGCTCAGTGGATTGGTTGGCCAGCAAATCAAAGGGTTGAAGGTTCAATTCCCAGTCAGGGCACATGCCTGGGTTGCAGGCCAGGTCCCTAGTTGGAGGCATGCGAGAGGCAACCACGCATTGATGTTTCTTGCCCTTGCTTTCTCCTTCCCTTTCCCTTTCTCTAAAAATAAATAAAATTAAAAAAAAAAAAGCAATATACTTTTTGAGATCAATACTATGATCACTGTTATAAAATAATGTATTTTAATGTGGTTTGTAAATGTCTCTGAAGGAAATTTCTGTAAGAATAAAAATTCTTACAGAATTTAGGTGATAGTTATATAGTTTACATTTCAAATACTATCTTTACCACAGTAACCACATGAAAGAATGACATTTCCAATGAATAAATTCTAGTATGTATATGTGTTTAAAATTAAGCGACTGCTGCCCTGAATGGTGTAGCTCAGTAGACTGGGCATAATCCTGCAACCCAAAAGGTCTCAGGTTCTATTCCTGGTCAGGGCGCCTGTCTGGGCTGTAGGCCAGGTCCCAGGTTGGAGGTGCGCGAGAGGCAACCAACTGATGTTTCTTTTGCACATTGATGTTTTTCTCTCCCTGTTTTCTCCCTCCCTTCCCCTCTCTAAAAATAAATAAATACATTTTTAAAGTTACTGTTTTTATTATGATATCCAACATTACTGTCATATTTTTACAAATATTTCATCAAAAATACCACTTTAAAAAAAAGTCTTTGAAAACGATAGAGGGGTAAACAAAAAGCTTCCAGATTCTGAAATTTTAGATTCTATTTCTCTCTGAATTACTTAAAACAAGCTTACTTTTAACAAAGTGTGAAGTGACTTAGGATTTTTTTTCCTTTACTCATTATAGCTCCTCAGGAGGCGAACAAGAGGGAAATCCCTGTTAATCTTTTCCTGCTACAGGGGAACAGTATTAATCCCAGAGCCACTAACATTCTTAAAAGGGCTAATGGTAGCTGAGTGAAGAACAGAAGAAAAAAAAGGATGGGTCACTGTAAGAGGGAAGCAGTTATCAGGGTTATGAAAAGAACTGTGTGACTATAGTTTTAAAAACACTTTCTAACACATCCCATACAGGACTTAATGTATTCTTTGCACTGAAAAACTTAACTATAACTAGCAGTTATTTTTTTCATTAGAGGCAAAGAGTTAACTGTGATAAGAAAAATAGGAGTCTGTTCTTTAAGTGAATACATGTTTTACCAAAGCTAAAATCTCTAATCTCTAATACATTAGAAAAACCTCTACTTGATTCAGTAATCAAAAACCTCATGGCTACTTATTAACAAGTTTGAAAATTTATATCACTTTTTTGTTTTCCTAAGAAAATGCCCACAGTGGTCATTACAAAATATACTTAAGTCCCTATCCCACTATCTCCTTTCTCATAGGAGATATAACTCTGGCATAGTGGATTTGGTGGTAAAGACTACATATTGAATTCTGGCTGTGCCAAGAAGACATATGGATTAGGTAGGAGTCGAAAACCCTGGGCTTGAATCTCAGCTCTGCCATGTTAGCTTTGAGACATTGGGCAAACAATTTCTATGATCCCTCGGACCCTCCATTGCCTGCCACATCTGTGCAATGATTAGTATGAGGATTGGGTGACAGAATTTACAGTAAATGAGTAATATTTCTATATAAGATAGTAAATTAAAAAAAAAGTAATATACAAAATGCTAATAACTTAAAACTATACAAATACACACAGATGCTCCAGAGGGAGATGAATGATGGCTAAGGAATATAAAAGGGTTTACTGGGTTCTCCTATACACAAAATGCTCACTTCCAATTTTGAGTCATCTTTACTTCTTAATTTTTTTTCTCAAGTTACCTTTAGTTTCTGAAAGACTCAGGCTCCTCTCATCAAGATTATGCAGATCCAATCTATTCTTTGAATTAAAGTTCAAATACTACCTCTACCCTGATACTGGTATACAGTGAGCATCTTTTTCTAACTTCCTATAACATTATCCATACCACTCATCTGATTTCTTATTGACAGACTCTTGAATTTTAGAGGTTTCCTATGTATCAAGTTTGTCTTCTCGCATAAATAGGTTCAATATAGTTAGAATGAAAAGAACCATGGGTTACGCCTACTTTTTCCTATTTAACAATTAAGTACTCAGTAGGCAAACAAGATATAAACTGAATTAAAACCAAAACAATGCAATTCTGCTATATGGTACTGAAGTTACAAAAGAAATTACTATTCAAATGGATTATCTTTTCTACTTCGTTTGACCAAAGAACCTAGATAACTAGTGGATTTCCAAATAAGAGAAAGTGACTATGAGAAGATATAATGAATGTAAAGGAAAACAACCTAACATCAGTTTGCTTTGTATTGCCATGATTTTATCTTCAAAGAAAAGGCACATATTGCAGTTAACGAACAACCCTCTATGGAGTGATGAAGATGTGCTCAAACTTTTTAAACCCTTTATTTTTTAGACCCTTCCAGGAAAGATTAAATTAATGATACCATTATTTAAATGGTTAGTTTATAAACAAGTCATCATTTAATTTGTTTGGACTTTAAATTTGGAACAAACCAATGTTTTATATACACCCTAACTGCTACACTATGCACTAACAAATAAAGGGAATAAAAAGTAAATATACTTACCAAGAACAATATACACTTGCAGTTTGGAGCTGCTGTGTAAGGTAAGTCGTACAAAGAACAAATGCTGTGTTATCCTGACCCTCGGATTCCAGATTACATATGATGTCAAGTATTTCCTTGCAGTCGACCTTTGCAATCTATCAAAAATGAGATAACTGAGTCAAAAGAAAAATGGTGACTCTCCTGTACACTGTTATATATAACCTAAGCTTTTTTCCTATCT